AGGATGCCTCTGTAAAGATTAGAGAAGAAAAAGAAAAACAAAAATCCCAAGCTGGTGTTCTTTGAGTTGATTCTAATTCATAGTGATCCTACTACAGGAAAGGGGAGAACTTCCCACACCTTAGGACGCCCAAGGCTGCTAGCTTTCTGGTAGCAGGCAGAAGGAAATCAAATGAAAGAGGAAGAATAGAGAGAGGGAGGGAGCAAAGGCAGACAAAGTTAAATTGGCCAGAGGAGAAACCATCTACAGAAGGAGAGAGCAATGAAGAGGAACGGAAAGATCTGGCAGAAACACTGCCTCTGCCTGCTCATCGCTTTTACCGGCCTCTGGGTGGAAGCTTTCCCCAGAAAGCCAGTAAAAGGCCTGTCCAAAGAACTGTAGCTTCCATTCTCCTGGCGGGCAGGATGAAATCCTTATTTAACAAGTGAGGAAACCAAGGCTCAGAGCAATCAAATCTTGGTATTCTTAGTGCCCCCGACCCCATCCTCGCCTCCAAGTGGTAGGTTTCTGGGGTGGTTGACCTCGGTTCTTGCTTCTCAGCGCTGGAAGAATTCAAGTGGCAGAAGCACTTTTGTAAATTCAAGTAACTTTTTTGAGGGAAAGGGTATTACAGTCTCAGAAAGAACACACTATTCCTGGAAAGTGCGCAAGGCTGCAAGGCGGGGGGCTGTGGAAAAGTTTGAGGCTGAACATGACCGCTTCAGGCAAGCATGGAAAAACCACATGAATCCTGGAACAGGGGGTACAAAACCAAGCGTGTAGAAAGCAAGAGCAGGAAATCCCATAGAAGGAACAGACCACCAGGAAAGGACAAGCACCCTCCACCCTGCTAGAGCGCACCTGAACAAGAAGGGGTAGCCTCCCCTCAGTCTGGTATTTATCCACACCTATGCCCACTTGGGGGCGGGGGCTTGAGGTTACTGGCTGACCTTGCTGACTGAGTCAGGGCACATCAGTGTGATATGTCGCTGCTGCCTAGTCTTTGTGGGCCCAGGTTTGATTTTCCCATAGGTGTCTGAAGGGTGCCTGACTTCCCTACAACCCCTTTATTGTGACTCTGCCAGACAATATCCCCCTAGCACAAGGACAAACCTTTTAGAACCAGAATAAGGGAAGACTTTAAAAGAAGACATGGGGGAGAGAGAAAACATCAGGAAAAGATGGGACTATCTTTCCAGACCTTACGGATAACTGAAAGAAATGTTGCCCAAAGCTCTGCTATCTTCATGATCACTGGTATGTTTCAGTTCATGGTTAGAAACAATTCTTAATTTTCTTTCCTTTGAGGGCAGACTTAAATAAATTTTAATAAATCAAAAGGGAGTTAATTTGTCAGCACCAGAGACAAGCTTTCTGGCTGGATTTACCCTTCAGGAGAGGGAGAGCTTGGTGATTTTTCTAACCTACTTGTAGTATTTCTCACCAAAGTTGTTCTTGTGGCTCTGTCTCCCTAGGGAAAGTGCAAAATATTGAAATGGCTCCCTTCCCCTCCAGGTAATACAGCAGCCTTAGGCAGGCCAGGGCAAGAGCAACAGGCAGAACACAGGGCCTTTCCAGTCCTTTCTGTTAGGGGCCCATAATTTAAATTCAGTCTTCAGAAACTCCCTTTTCCTGCTTGGTTTGCTTGCTTGTTTTTGCTCAAGGTAATTGTTTCTAAGTGGCCAGACCGGTTTCCTTGGCTAATGGGCTTGTTAAACATTTTAAGAATCTTTGATGTTGACCTAACCTCCTCTTCTCAGCCAAATCTTGCCATTTGGGTGAGAAGCAGCAAAAACAGTCAACTGGGCAGAATTTCCAGAGCTAAGCGGTTCCTTAAGTCTGGACACTGGGCAAGAGCAGATGTCATCTTACAAACGGTTTGGGCACAACTCGGAACCACGTTTGTAAATACGATTCTTTTCGTTCCAATTTCAACACTCACAAATAGCAAGTAATTACTTCATCTAACCACTAGATCTTAGTTAAAAACAGCTACATAGATATTTGGGAGTGAAGGTGAGGATGCTGTTTATTAAATCCCAGTCACTTGGATATGAAAGGGAGAAAAGTAATTCAGTGCTATGGGTGAAGTAGGGTGGGGGTGGGGTGGGGGCACTAGCCTGCTGGAGGAGCAATGAGGAATAAAGGGTAAAGGTGATATTGGGTAAGCCGGTTTGAGATATGGAACCCTGAGAGAAAGGGGGACTGGATGATTTATAGCATATCCCCTCTATGTAACAGAGATCAGATACTCAGCTACTCTGGGTCAGGATAACAGTTAGATTTGGAATTATTTGTATGGTCTTTTTTTTTCTTCCCTTTTGGTGTCTATTTAAGATAGGCAGGATTAGCAATCGCAAGGAGACAGCATCAGGACCTAAGGTTCCAAGGGGAAGAGGGGGAGGGATGGGAGGGGAAGGGTCCGGAAGGGGAGCAGTGAGCCAATAAAGATACAGACGGGAATAGCAAGGGTACTAAAATTGACAGTGAGGAGAGTGTAGCTTTCCTGGTCATATTTGATCAATTTAAACATATCTGACAAGAATTACTTAGAGGTGAAAGATGGGTAAGCATGAGAGTTGGGCAGGAGGAAAGAAAAAAAAACAGGAAAGCCAAAAAAAGTGAAATATATATATATATATATATACACACACACATATATATGTAAAGATGTGTATATGTAAATATGTAAAGATAGGGTTGTTTGTGTATGTATATGTGTATGTATATATATCTATACCTATCTATCTATCTCCAACAAGGAAGCAGATGGACTTTGGGCCTCTACATAAATCATACCTCAGTACAAGAAGTTTGTTCTGATAATGTGGTACTCACCTCCCCAACATGATCGCTGAAGACAAAATGGGTGCGTATGCAAATGTGAAGAAAGCTAATGGTGTCCAGCTATTACAAGATATAGCCCGGGGTCTTCAAGGATTGAAATTAAAGTGGTCATTTAGCAGGGAAGCAACAAAGGCCACAAGGAAGAAGCACACCAGGCTGTACGAGCATGAGGTGTTGAGGGGGAAGGGCTATCAGCAGTTCAAAACAAGCACTAAAATTGACTTGTGGCTCAGACAAAATGGAGACCACATACCCACCTGTGAGCTAATTGGACAGGCCTTCACGGAAGGGCCACGCGGAAGGAATGCTACATCTCGGGTGCGGAACAGCACTGAGGAAATAGCAAAAAAGAACATGTTTTGAAACTTAACTGTGGTCAGGGAGTGATGTGATTGAACTATGGAAGGTTATGATCTCTGTAAGAACTCCCAATAAGATGATTTTTTTTAAAAAGGAAAGAAAAACAGAACCTCCGGGGTCCCCAAGGGAGGAACATGCCCCGCGAAGTTCCGGGACACGCAAGGGATCTTCACAAGGTTTCGGGTGCAAAACCGCTGCGCGCTCGCAGCGAAAACGGCTCTCGCGGCGTTTGCAACCACTACGTCACCAGCCGCTCGGCCTCTCATTGGGTGCGCTCGTCCAATCCGGTGACGCCAATGTGGCATATAAATGAGGGCGAGGAGCAGGCAGTTGCCCGCCGTTTCCAGTAGCCCAGAGACGTGCGGGTGTGCGTGGTAGCCGAGCCGGTGGAGGAGAACACGCCGCTTTCCCGATTGTAGTTTTAAACCTCTGCGTCTGCAAGACCAGATTTCGGTAAGAAGCCCGAGATGGAAAGACTGAAGCGGGAAACCGTATTTAACTAATCTTGAAGGTGTGGCCGGCCCGGCACTATGGCGGCCCCAGACGGAGACAAAGAGACGCCGCCGCCATTTTGTGACGTTCTGCGCGGGGAGGCGGCGGAGCTCGTCGGCCGGTCGGGGACGTTGCCTGGCCTTGGGGTCCCGGGGTCGTGCTTCCCCTTTGTGGGGGCGCTCGGGGGGAGGGGCTGGGTAGTGCGCCACCGCAGCGTTGGGGCCGAGGGAAGCCAGTCGCCGGATTGGGCGCCAGGCCGCGGCCTTTCAATTGATGGCGCCCTTTTGGGCTCGTTACCTCCGGAAGTTCCTTAGGGAATTTTCCCCCGGTCGCTAATGAGCGTCGAACCTTCCAAGCTCCCCCCCCCCCCCCCCCTAGTTAGTATCTGCTTCCACGTTACCTTTATTTGGGGTGATGCTGGGACTCTTTTGCGCGGACCCGAACCCCTTTTTCCAACTGGCGTCTGTCTGGGATTCGGGCCGCTTGGGCGTGAGCTCGTTCTTGCCTCGCAGTCTTTGAGAAGAACGGGGTGCTTAGAAAAGCTTTTCGATTGCGTTCTGGATTTGGCTTTTCCGTCACGGAAACGCGGCCCCTCCATTGCTCCAGCCCTCGTCGTTGCCGGCGCTGCTCGGTGCATTCCCCCTCGTGGCCACCCCCCCGCGTGTGGAAAGTAGAATTGCGCTCCGTCGGGTTTCGGGGGGCTGTTTGGGGGAGCAGGTTGCTCAGCGTCCGGGGCGCCTTTGGGCTGGTTGGAACCGCCAACCACGGCGGGGGGGGTGTCGGTGTATCGTAGCCCAAAGCCCAGGACCGTTCGTGCGGCCGCCTCCCTAGTGATCACTAATAGTTTGTCGATCGACTTGCCTTTCAGGCTGCTTTATTGACGTGGGCTCGCATTCCTTGTGTGTGTGGCTTGGATTGCCCGCGTTTCCCATGGTTTTGTTGTAGCACGTGCACTGGGAGCTTGGAAAAGGTGGTGGGAACGCGGGATTAAAGAGGTGAAGGGATTATTTCCTTGCTCTTTGTGAGGCCCCTCTGGTGGATTGGCTGACTTC